AAACTTCCATTAATAGTGCTGAAGATATAAACAAATTGTAAAACTGCTTTCCATATTAAGATACCTCCCCCCCAACCCCTTTTCTTTGAGACAAGGTCTTGCTCTGTCACCCAGGCTGGAGTGCAGTGATGTGATCTTGACGTACCGCAGCCTCTACCTCCTGGACTCAAGTGATCCTCCCACCTCAGACCCCCAAATAGCTGGGACCACAGGCACGCAGCACCACATCTGGCTAATTTTTGTATTTTTTGTAGAGACGGGTTTTCACCACGTTGCCCAAGCTGGTCTTGAACTCCTGAGCTCAAGCAATCTGTCCACCTTGGCTTCCCAGAGTGCTGGGATTACAGGCATGAGCCACCACCTCGTCTGGCCTCCCCCTACTTTTTTTTGGTATGGGGTCTTGCTTGGTCACCCAGGCTGCAGTGCAGTGGCACCATGACAGCTCACTGCAGCCTCGAACTCCTCGGCTCAAGTGATCCTCCCACATCAGCCTCCCCAGTAGCTGGGACTACAGGTGTGTTCCACAATGCCTGGCTAATTTTTGAAACTTTTTGTAAAGATGAGGTCTTGCTATGATAGCCAGGCTAGTCTCAAGCAGTCCTCCCCTCTTGGCCTCCCAAAGTGCTTGGATTACAGGCATGAGCCACTGTGCCTGGCCAAGATACCCATTTTTAACAGGATTTTCCTCCCTCTCACTGCTAATAGCTATGTAGACCCAGACAAGGGCTTTCAGGTGAGAAAAATTAAAGCAAGTAACTTTAGAGTTTCGACTCAATCCAAATAATATGAATACCTATAATGTGCAAAGTATTGTGCTATAAAGGAGCTTAAGATTTGATAGGCAGATGGTTCATCTGGAAGCATTCCAAGATTCTATGTTGTACACCTAAATAATAGTCCACAGTGATTGCATTTTATTTATTTTTTTGAGACACAGTTATGCTCTTGTTGCCCAGGCTGGAGTGGCCAATCTCGGCTCACCACAACCTCCACCTCCCGGGTTCAAGCGATTCTCCTGCCTCAGCCTCCCGAGTAGCTGGGATTACAGACATGTGCCACCTAATTTTGTATTTTTAGTAGAGATTGGTCAGGCTGGTCTTGAATGCCCAATCGCAGGTGATCCACCTGCCTCTGCCTCCCAAAGTGCTGGGATTACAGGTGTGAGCCACCGCATCTAGGCCTAGTGATTGCATTTTAGCTGGCTTGCCTAGAAGTGAACAGTTCCCCCTTCTACCTTCTCTATGCTTCTTTCTGCAGTGAACCTCCAATTTTTGCCAACTATTTTGTTTTAACCATGGGCAAAGAGGTTGAAAAAATTTTTATGAATAGTTGACAATTTGTGTGTGTGTGTATATATATACACACACACATATGTATGTATATATTTTTTAGATGGAGTTTCCACTCTTATTGCCCAGGCTGGAGTGCAAAGGCATGGTCTTGGCTCACTGCAACCTCTGCCTCCTGGGTTCAAGCGATTCTTCTGCCTCAGCCTCCAAGGAGCTGGGATTACAGGCACCCACCACCACACCTGGCTAATTTTGTATTTGTAGAGATGGGGTTTCACCATGTTGGCCAGGCTGTCTCAAACTCGTGACCTCAGGTGATCTGCCTGCCTCAGCCTCCCAAAGTGCTGGGATTACAGGCAGGAGCCACTGTATCTGGCATTTAGAAATATTTGGTTAATTGTCTGTGTTCATTGTTTCATCAGCAAAACAGCATTAACAGTGAGCTTGCAAACTCATAAGCTACAAACCTTAGCCCCGGATCATTTAGACTGTGATCACTCTGTGTTGGGGGCATTTTCATTATTATCATCTGCTTTTTTTTTTTTTTTTTTGAGACAGAGTCTCGCTTTGTGCCCCAGGCTGGAGTGCAGTGGCTCGATCTCTGCTCACTGCAAGCTCCGCCTCCCAGGTTCACGTCATTCTCTTGCCTCAGCCTCCTGAGTAGCTGGACTACAGGTGCCCGCCACCGCGCCCGGCTAATTTTTTGTATTTTTAGTAGAGACGGGGTTTCACCGTGTTCGCCAGGATGGTCTCGATCTCCTGACCTCGCGATCCGCCTGTCTCAGCCTCCCAAAGTGCTGGGATTACAGGCGTGAGCCACCGCGCCCGGCTATCATCTGCTTCTTAATGGAAGATATTTATTCATTTAACAAATGCTTAATTAGCACTTATATGACAGATATATTAACATACCATTTGCCCCATCTGAGGAGACAAAATCCTATGAGAGGCCTTTTATGGATTAATGCCTCACTTTCAAAACACAGATGTATGAAAGGTCAAGTGAAAGTTGTGTCTCTTCTGCAGGCACACCCTATTCCCCCTTATTCCAGACTTACTCATTTAATGATGTGAAACAAACTTGAGGTGTTTAGTTTTTCAGAGATTTCAGAAATGGGAAGCCACTGATGTTGCCTTTTACTTTGGAAATGTATATCGGCAATTTGGATCGTCAGAAAGATGTCTGCCTCATCTCTGGAATATCTAAGTCTACTTATAGAAAACAAATCTTTAACAAACATTTGCAACCACATGAGATTTGGTGCAGTTGAATTCATCTTAGTATTTTTAAAAGGTGTAACACTTTTCTAAAGAAAATGTCCCCTTGCCTTTTCTTCTTCTGCTTCTTTTTTAAATAAATAGAGACCTTGGGCGGGCATAGTGGCTCACACCTATAATCCTAGCACTTTGGGAGGCTGAGGCAGGCAGATCACTTAAGGTCAGGAGTTTGAGACCAGCCTGGCCAACATGGTGAAACCCCGTCTCTACCAAAAATACAAAAATTAGCCGGGCCTGGTGGCACATGCCCGTAATCCCAGCTACTAGGGAGGCTGGGGCAGGAGAATTGCTGCAACCCGGGAGGCAGAGGTTGAGGTGAGCCGAGATTGCGCCACTGCACTCCAGCCCGGGCAACAAGACGGAAACTCCGTTTAAAAAAAACAAAAAAAAAAAAAGAAAAAAGAGGACGGGTCTTGCTGTTGCCCAGGCTAGTCTCAAGTAATCCTCCTGCACTAGCCTCCTAAAGTGTTGGGATGACAGGTGTGAGCTACTGCACCCAGCCCTCCCTTGCTTCTTGTGTCTGTTACCTTTTTCTTCCCAAATTTCCATGTGAGAGCTAAAATTGTCTTTTTTTTTTGAGACAGAATCTCGCTCTTGCTCTGTCACCAAGACTGGAGTGCAGTGGCAATTCTCCTGCCTCAGCCTCCCGAGTAGCTGGGACTACAGGAATGCACCACCACATCCGGCTAATGTTTGTATTTTTAGTAGAGACGGGGGTTTTCACTATATTGGCCAGGCTGGTCTTTAACTCCTGACCTCAGGTGATCCACCTGCCTCGG